AGTCAACCTTGAGCTGGTGAGATTTGAACAGCCGAACTGCAGAACTGCAGTCAGCTGAAGTAGCCTGCAGAGCTGCACTCTAACCACTGCGCCACCTCGGCTCCTTATATGCGCTTCTGATTTCCGCTTTTGTAGATTAATAGCTTAAGTTCAACTATGGAGAATGGGCATTGGTCTTACCTGATATGCCTGTTCTCAGGGAGGGGGAGATAGCATCCAGCCCACCCTGTTAGTAGTCCGGGCCTGGGGGGGGGAGGTGAGGTGAGAGGAGGAGATATTTTTGGTCGTACATGTCAGTCTACAGTACAACCTTTGTCAAAAGCTGGGAGGAGTCACTAGAGGAGGTGTGACATCACAGATTGTAGACTCAGTCTGATTGGATACTAGATGGAGTTAACCGGTTCCTGGATGCTATCTCCACCGCCCTGAGAACGGGCGTCTTAGGTAAGACCAACGCCCAATTTCCGCTTTTGTAGATTAGTAGCTTGAAAGAAGACAGTCTTCCGTATATTTAAGGATTTTTTTAAGGATGAAGAGATAGGTTAGAATAAGGTGACCAGACGTCCCGCTTTTGGCGGGACAGTCCCACTTTTGAACAATTTGTCCCGTGTCCCGCAGTGTATAAAAAAAGTCTCAATTTTTTTAACACCCCCCAACCCGGTCAATGGTGTCCCTCTTTACCAATGTTAAAATCTGGTCACCTTAGGTTAGAAAGTTTGAGGAACCCTCATTGAGTTTTCCTTCAGGTCTGATGAACTTCCATCGGGAGGTCACGCATTCCATCCAGTTCTCACCCCTGAATCCATTCCGTTCTAAAGTTCAAACTTGTTTTTTTTGCTTTTCCATTATTCTTGATTTCATGTTAAATTATATTTTGAGGCTGCTGTCTTGCTTGTAATTGCTATCATTAGTGTTATCATTTTTCTCTACGTGTCTCCTTGACAGGGCTCTATCCTAAAAGTCAGACTAAAAATAATTGTAATAAAATACATTTTTAGACTTTCAATTTTAATAGCAATTCCAGGAATCAATAGACCAAGCTCATCTATTTGAAATGTTTAGCTTTTATTTTGTTTTAAAGCCTCCTTTAATCTGATATGGCATTTAGAAGAATCATTGATATGCTCTTAATGGTTCTTACGAGGCTGCAGATAATCACTGAGTACTGCTATTTCTTTTTAACCTCATTTTAAAACGAGCATATCAAAACAAGCTAAGTTGGAACTTGAATATAAGCCATTAATTGTGCAATATTCAAATATGAGCTTCCCCAGTTGTAGGAAGCTCCCCACAGTCCGGGTCCTCATTTCACCCACCTCGGAAGGATGGAAGGCTGAGTTGACCTTGAGCCGG